CATTTTACAACTAGAAAATACTTTCAGTCCCATAGCTCAGCCCTTGTACTGAGCGGACTTCTGGCAGATGAAATGCGTGGGGAGGGTTGGGGGTGGACCTGCCGCTTCATTCTTAATTTTCCTTTCCCCGATTCTTTGCTTAATCTTTAACCCTGATCTGTGTTTATATGTGTGTAATGTGTGTGATACCCTCTTTTAATAGAAAGCCTCTCCCATGGGCTGAGGTTTCTCCCTTCGGTGTCTTTCACTTGGTGGTCGCTGCCACCCTTGCAGATGTCAGGGACATTTCACAGCATTGGAAGCTGGAGCCATTAAGCATTTCCTTTGCCTAAATTGCTCCCAGTTTTATAAGGCCTTGGGTCTTCTTAACTGACCTCCAGCAGCTTTGACTTAATTTATGTTCCCCGAGCTGGATAATATTCGACTCTGCCAAAAAGGATAAAAACGAGCCTTAAGAGATTTTTAAAGTGACTGTAGATAGGAAGAAACCATGAAGGTGACAATAAGAACACTTCGCTGATCATCAGTAGTACCATTTATTGAGGATGTCTGGCGTGCTGGGCATTATCCACGAGGTGAGCAGTAACCGCCTTATGCTATGGGTGAGGCCCTTCTGTCCATTCAAGGCCACACAGCTCGTAAGTGAGGGATCCCACACTTTGCCCATGTTTCACCCGTTTCGATATGCAGCATGTTACAGTGTTTGTGTTCAGTGCTCGCCCATGAGTCCTGGGAGTAGCAGTTGCTTGATCCTTGAATGTAAACACTGAAGCTGAAAGCTGAGGGAGAAATACACCCTGATCACCTTTGAATCCCGTCTTTCAGATACCTGTAGCATCCCTTGAAACAGACTCCCTCCCTGGCATTTTCCATGAATACAAGCAGTTGTCACAAGGGAGATCTAATTCCCGATGACCTAAGCTTCTGATGGTTGTGCAGTCCTGGGTACACTGCTCTGGCCGGTCTTCTGTTAGCCACCAAGTGTCTTATAATTGGCTTCAGGCATAGTGATTAAGAAGGAGTCATTGCTAGGTGTCTGGGGCCTGTACAGTTGTTTAGTTAAGACCAGACCCTAATCCTGAATTCTGAATAATGGAGAAAAGAGAAGATGAATGTTACAGGGATTAGTGAAGTTGTTACTGATGGCGGGGGACTGGGACCAAGACCCGAAGGTCTAATTCTGCTCTATTCCTCAATGAGAAGGAAGTGTCCTAGTAGGAAAGGAGGAATCATACACGAACATGTGGAAGCTGGTAGTTTGATAGGAGGAGCTCCCCTACCCCCTTTTCTCCTTTTTTCTCCTTACAGCAAATTATTATGCTTTGGGTGATATTGGACATAACTGGTATGGATTTTGGAATTTAAATTATGTCTGCCATCCTTACATGGTCTCTGGGGCAAAACGCATAGGCCACATAGTCTCATTTAACAGGGTCAGTAAGAGTAAGTCTAAAGAGAAGGGAGTTTGGGCCCTTCAGGGCCCTTGGCTTTTGTTCTGTTAATTTCCATAGGCAAAAGAGATACTTTAAAACTCGCTATATGAAATGAAGGATTAAGGATTTTATAGGTGCTTTAAAAGTCTCTGCACGTAAAAGCACGTGTGGAGTGTTGGCGGTATAGTAAAGGTGAGTTGGATGAAGGAAGGAAGTCTTGTCGGCAATGTTGATTACAGTCTGATTGGGCAAGAAGGTTAAGATGCGTGATACAACTGTGTGCTTTGATTTGAGCCCGTAATAGCCACTCAGTACGTACTTGTCAAATTGTGTGGCCATTAGGAGGGATTCATGGATCAGATTTTAACTTGCTATGTCAATTTTATAGAATTTTTGCATGTAGCCCACTCAAACAATCTTTGTATTTGCAACTTATATGGCTATACTAAAGAGTCTTAAAGTGGATCAGAAAGGAAATCAATGTTCTGAACAATCAAAAGAATTAGAACATGTATGTAGCACCAAGTTAACTCCTGTTTAAATTAACGTCACACACAGCACACACGCAATCCTACGTGCATGCACACAACCCTTCCTAGACAGAATTTGAGTCATGGGAAACAGAATAAGTTCCCTGGTGGTACTGGACAGAGGGCATGCTGGTTTGAAATCCATTATCTTAATTAGATCACTTCTCTTACACTCCAAAGCAGCTACGTTACACAGAGTAACAACTAACCCATGGGTTCTTGATCTCAATGAGGAACTCTTTAAGACTTTTATTTTTTTCCCCCCCATCAAATGCTCAGTGTCTTGGCATTTCTTTGACCTAGAGCCCTTTGGAGCCTGAACAATGAACTCTGACACTGTACAGCTGTTTTAAATTAAAGCACTTCTGAAATGCCTCCCTGCCCCCACCCTTAAAAGCTATACAACTGTGGGTGCCATCCCCTAGACATGCAAGTGTGTATTCAGAGTTCCTTATTACATGAGTCATCAAAGCACAAGGCAAATAATTTCCAACATCCTACTTCTACCCTAAATGATGTGTGCCTATTTTATGAGCAATATAATAAAAATCCAATATTAGGGAAGGACCTATGGTCGCCTTTGGAATCCTTTCTTCAGGATTGTGAAATACTAATAGCAGGGGATTGACACAAGGCTCGCGGATAGAGCTCAGCGACCAGCCTTTAGTTTCCCAGTGTGTGTGAGGTACGTGTGCGGCCTACCAGATGCATACTGACGTGGCTTGGCGTACCTTCTTTATCGTGTCCCCAGTGAACCAGCAGCTAGGGCAGGGCTGCTAGGGAATCGAACAAGGTATGGGAAGTGGACCAGATGACACTTTCATGTTGCGTCTTACCCCAATACCCCCCAGCTTTGAATTCTAGGAAAGTGCTACCTGCCTTCTGGACACTTAGTTGAGAGACTTCCGTTCAAGAAAATTTATTCGCCCCACCCCAAAAATTATAAATCACACCCAAGAATGCAAGAAAAAAATGGAAAAAACCCAAGTCATTGGAAAGACGTTTTCCTCTAATTAAAACGCTTAACCCTTATGCTTCATATTTAGCACAGCCCCGAGCTGGTGCTGATTACTGTTGAGGGGTGAAATGGGACATGTTTCCTTGGCTAGAACAACAGTTCTCAAACATTAGGGGAACCGGAATCCTAGATGGCTGGGCTCCACGCCCGGGGTCTCTGATCTGGTGGGTTTAGGGTGGGGCCCAAGAACTTGCATTCCTAACAAGGGCCCTGCTGATGTGGTGTTGCTGGTGGCCTGTCTTGGGACCGCACTTGAGAATCACTTGGGATTCTGGAGAGAATTAGAGGCCTCTCAGGCACCTGATTTGAGTAATGCTTTTCATATGGTTCCCCTAGCTCCTTGCGTACTTTCTGGTCTTCCAGGGAGCGACCTTGGGTAAAAACACCAGGCTGTGCTGGTAATGGAGGAGAGGAGTTGACTTGACTTGCGGGCCTCTCCTCAGGTCCCCGCCTCCCCGCCCCCCTTTTTTAGCTCTTCAGAGGGAATCCATTTCTTCTCTCCTCCTTGAAGAGCGCCCAGGAAATACAAAACAAGTGAAACTTCAACCAAAGGGAAAGGAAAGAGCCCTTCTCCCCACAGAAATACCCACAGACAAAACACACATAGTTTGGGAAGCTGGAACCCAGAAGACGGTGGCCTTGCGGTCTCAAGTCACCATGTGGTAATGAGCTGGGGGCACAAGTATGGAAGCTCTTGGAAGTACGCAGAGTCACCCACACCCCTTCCAAAAGGCTTACAGTGTTTCCAGTGCAAGTTTTGAGAGACTACTGGAAAGTAGTTTTCAGCCTCTCATTTGCCTGCCGGACATGAGAAGATAATGGATAATGGCTTTGCCATGCTATTGCATTTCGAGAAGATTGCTAATGTTCTTCTGGCTTCAAAGGAGGCACCAGATTTTTTCTTCTACTCCATGTTCTCTTGGAGGCACTTTCTTAATGCGGTCCTTATATTTCGCTTTAGTATTTATTACATTCCCTGCTTGTAAACTTAATATCTTGAAGTGTTTATTTTTATACCAGCCACAGATTCATTAAGAATGATTGTTACAGATACACCATTAGCTCTTTCCTTCTTTGAACTGCCTCACAAAAGCTTCAGGAAAACCTAATTTGCCCTTTGTACTTAAGAGATTAAAATCTTTCAGCATTTAGGCCAGAAAGTAAATGTGGAATAACCAGGTATTCTTACGTATTTTTCTCCGTTATTTTCCTGTTGCCTGTAAATACATGACTCAACCACAGATTTCATGTTGCGTGTCTCTCTCCCTCCTCTCCCCTCTCCCCCCCCTTTTTCCCCTCTCCCCCCAACAAAGAATCTCATGATGTTACCATAGAAATCCTTTAAGAACCCATGTTCAACTTGGTTACCCCAATTTGTGCTAATGTCACAGGGAACACCTGAGAACTTCTTTTCAGAAAACCTCAGCACTAGCTTTTGTGGTATTTCATTATGTTTCTTGGCCTCCAGCATGTACTAGGCAGTGTTCTTGCATGTCACGTAGATGTAAGGAGAAAAGAAAAAAAAAATGGGTCCGAGTAAAACAACATGTTTTGAAAATACCTGTCCGGGTGTCAGGTTTCAGTTAGGAGGCATCGTTAGCTTTGGTTTCGATTCTTGCTGTAGAAAGTTCTGGCAGGCCTCATGTTTTAGATCTCATGTACCCATTTTTATCCAGCTCTTTATTTACCTTGTGACTGAACGAGAGATGTGTGTGTGTGTGTGTGTGTGTGTGTGTGCGTGTGTGTGTACATACATGCATGTGTGTGTATTTTATATTGATTCCTGAGAAGTTGTTGGTCTAAAATATTTTCCCCTCTCTTAGGTGTAAACACGTGTACATGACTTTGTGGCTTGTGACCTGGATTTCCTTTTACTGACATGAAAAGAAATCCACCTTATATATGAGTGTGTTTTCCAATTTCGTCATTTTTTCCCCCAGCTTTCAAACTGACCTGAAAAACACTTTGTTACTTAATTACTGAAAATCTTTTCTTCCTTTTTTTTTCTTTTGTCTTTAGAATTCTTCAAAGAACTACTGGAAAATGCAGAGAAATCCCTGAATGACATGTTCGTGAAGACCTATGGCCGCTTATACATGCAAAATTCTGAGCTATTTAAAGATCTCTTCGGAGAGCTGAAGCGCTACTACGTGGCGGGAAGCGTGAACCTGGAAGAAATGCTAAGTGACTTCTGGGCTCGCCTTCTGGAGCGGATGTTCCGCCTGGTGAACTCCCAGTACCACTTCACAGACGAGTATCTGGAGTGCGTGAGCAAGTACACGGAGCAGCTGAAGCCCTTTGGAGACGTCCCTCGGAAACTGAAGCTGCAGGTTACGCGTGCGTTTGTTGCCGCCCGTACTTTTGCTCAAGGCTTAGCAGTCGCGAGAGACGTAGTGAGCAAAGTCTCCGTGGTAAGTGCTCTCTGCATCCCACGCCTTTGTTTCTGTTGTTTCATTTCAAAAGAAAGTTTGGAGGGTGCTAAGGGGGTGCATTCGGTTGGGCGTCAGACTCTTGATTTTGGCTCAGGTCATGCTCTCCGGGCCGCAGGTTGGAGCCCTGGGTCGGGCTCCACGCTCAGTGGGGAGTCTGCACGGGGTTCTCTCCCTTCTTTGTCCGTCTTGCTTGTGCTCTCTCTTTGTCTCTCTCTCAAATAAATAAGTCTAAAAAGAGAAAGTTTGGGAGGTTGGAAAATCAATAGAATTCCATGGGCTGGATAACCATTTTCTCCTATTCTGCTCTCTTCTTTCTCTTGGCCTTTCCCTCACACACTTTGTTCTGATACAGGTACATCCTGGAGTTAGGGACCGTGCTGTGATGAACACCATCCCATAACGTCAGTCTTTCCAGTGCTTTCTCTGGTAGCCATTCTTGGAAGCAGAATGCATATTCATTTTGGAATCTTAATTTTCCAAAGTGGGTTTAGCATGGCCATGCTCTTCAGCTCCTGTTCTCTTTCCCCTCCAGAGAAAGAAGCAGGCCGGCTCCGTGTTTGTTTGTTTGCTTTGAGTGACTGGGTTTGGGGCCCCCGCCTTACAGTCTAGAGCTGTATTGAACATGCGTTAGTATGGGTTTCCTTGTTTTAAGGTGTACCTAGCACTCTTTAGAAGGCAGAGCTTTTTATGACAGTTAGTGGGTGCCCCGTGCTCTTGACTTGCAGCTTTGTTTATATAAAAGGTTACCAATGGACAGAATGAAATCGTACTGTGTAGGCAAGAGCAGGTGCAATGAGGCACATTTCCCTCATTTGTAAAGTAAAAGAACTGGACAGTGTTCTCTGAAGCCAGCTAAGGAGGTCGTTCAGGGGCCTCCTTCCAGAGGTGAGAGGCAAGGGAGACGGATGGAGCCTTCCTGGAACGGAGACTCCGCCTCTGTGCCTTTCCCTCCTTGCTGCACCAGAGAAGCTTTGTTTTTCTCGCTTTTCAAAGTAGAGGGTTTATTTTGTTTTGTTTTTAAGATGTTATTTTTTTTTAAGATTTTATTTATTTGTCAGAGAGAGCGAGAGAGCAAGCACAGGCAGACAGAGTGGCAGGCAGAGGTAGAGGGAGAAGCAGGCTCCCTGCCGAGCAAGCCGTGAGGTGCTTATTAGCAGTCCCACCCAGACAGCATGTACCGCTAAGTTTGAGGCAACCAGGGCTGCCTTGAGCAGACCAGGCTTCCGGGTTACCCTAGTTAGAGAGGAAACTTTGAGATTAGTCCAGTGAAGGTGAGATTCTAAAGAACTGTGTACCATCAGATGTAGGTGTTTCTAGGATGTTCCATCCCAGGACTGGGTGAGAAAGGAGGCTTAGCTGATTGGTCGCCTTCATTCTCCTCTCCAGGCACCTGAACTCTCAGGGAACGGCAGTTCTTTCCAACATGTTCTTGTTGACTCCTTTTCTTCCAGATACTCTCCTTATAAATGGTGGGTGAGAGCTAGTTGAGCAGGGTGACGGTTATAATTAAAGGAATAATCTGATTCCTGAACTTCGGCCAACCTCAGCAATCATTAGGAATCCTCCAGATGCTCATCTCAGAGCCCTGAAACAAGGCAGTTATTTACATGGTAGCTCACCTAACCAACAAGTCCTTGTGTTCATCCTCAGCTGAACAGACAGGGAGGCAGGGCTGTGTGCTTTGAATGAGAGAGAGAGAGAGAGAGAGAGAGAGAGTGTGTGTGTGTGTGTGTGTGTGTCTGTCTGCGCGCGCGCACAGACACTTGAGCCAAAGAGAAAGGCATGAAGTAGAACGTCCTTTGCAAGCATCTAAAAAATGGTTGCTTTCCATTAGCCATCCCTCTTTCAGTTCTTGGGAAGAGGAGACCAAGCCAGCAGAAGTCTGGTTCACTTCACTTTGCTAGGTGGGAGCCCCACTTCAGAGAGCTGAGGTTCCAGAAACTCCAGCTCATGGTGGAAGGCAGTAGATGAAACAAGGAAGTGATTTAGAGACCCTTCGTTGCAGATTTATTTATTTTTATTTTATTTTTTAAAGATTTTATTTATTTGAGAGAGAGAATGAGAGAGCGAGCATGAGAGGTGGAAGGTCAGAGGGAGAAGCAGACCCCCTGCTGAGCAGGGAGCCTGGGACTCCAGGATCATGACCTGAGCCAAAGACAGTCACTCAACCAACCGAGCCACTCAGGTCCCCTCACTGCAGATTTAGAAAGTCAAGGGCTTAGAAGGCTTGCTGTTGTCCATCCTACCCCACCTCCCAGGGTAGGGAGAAGGGAGCAGTTGTGGCTTCCCCGTGTCCCATTCTTCTTGACATGGTTCTCAGAATTCATGGTGGGAAATCCATAAGATTGGCTTTTGTATATAAGATTCAAACCCTCTTAACTATACAATAAAGAGTATGTGACTCAGAACAAAAGAGTCACAATTTCTGGTGTTTTTTCTGGTATGAATTTTTTTTTTCTTTTTTAGCAAGAGATTTCCTGTGTACCTTAGTATTGTTAAGTTGTTTGAGAAAGTTCCTTTCTAAATATAACCCTAAATTTGCTTCAGAATTAATCTGTAGTCTATGTTCATTGTATTTTCTAATATCGGCGTAAGAGATGTTTGCATAGTTATATGAGAATACAATGAATACAAGGTATAAGGCTTAATTTACTTTGAGTAAACATTGCTTGCCAATTGTTTAGTTAAAAATACTCTTTTGTGTCTACTTGAAAAGTTGAATTTATAACTGGAAACTTTTTAGTACTGTTTTGCTTCCCTACTGAGCTTCTTCTAGACTTAAGGACTGATTTGAAATCAAACCGTCCAACTAAGTTGGGTCATGCTATCTAAATGACACAAGGATAAGATACTCAGGCATCAGGTCAATTTCTAAAGGAGTTAAAACACAAATTATTGAAAAATTTCTCATCTATGCAATGTTTCTGTCTAGAATTATGTAAGGAACACTTGGATATTTGAGGAAATACTTATTAACGTTAATTTCTGGAGTATGACTACCAAATAGATTTTAAGTTAAGATACAGTGGTATGGGGAAGACAGTAAATGATCCGACTATCAAAACCTTATTTCAAGTTGTACATGTTGGAAACAAAGTCTGCAGTTGCTGTCCAAGGGTTGTCTGCAGGTGGGACTAGAGCAACACAAGAACTAGACATTCCTTCTTTTACCTTGGGCATGGAAAAGACCACTCAGAATGGAGAACATTAAAGACCGTCACCTCACCCACCTCATCTACGAAGATGTCTCTGAAAGTCAAGTATGAGAAGCACTGGGGTCTTGGGTTAGTTACCGCATACTTAAACATGTTCCCACTTTCTCTTTGGAAGTGGATGCCCTGTTTTTCCAGATTACTTTTGCCACACAAGGGCTGTAGTTAAATGCTGAGCAATGACTTGATTATCACTAAGCCTTTTAAAGGCCATCAGCACCAGTAAGCTAAGCTTAACTTCAAGGGAAAGTCATGGCTCAGTCCAAGTATCCTTGCCTTGCTTCAGATTTTTTGGGCCCAAACGTGGAGTGACTGCAGCTTACTCCACTGAGCTTTGCCATTGCAACTGCAGAAGAGTCCCTTTAATGAGCAACAAATGGCTCACGAGCACCCTGGCACTATACGTCTCTGTATGACTTAGCCCTTCGTTATTTGTCATGGTTCATGATGCATTGCTTATTTACCTGCTCTAGCAGCAGTTTTGCCTGGAAGGGTGAAGTCTGTTGTGGTCTTTGAAGAATGCACGAGTGGTTCCATGCACCATGAAAATGAATAGCTCCCGTGCCAAAGAGAGTTGCATTCTCATGGTTTCAATTAACACTGACATAATGGGACTATGTCTACACCCCCACCCCAAACTCCAGGGGCTATAATTAGAAAGCAGTTCCTTACCATTGTGATGTCTAAATGATTGTCCTGCCTCGAGAACAATTTCCATTCCTCCCACCACCCGCCCTTTGATCCCGTCTGTTCACAGTGCCCCAACACATACAAGAGTACTGCACAAGTTATTTTGCCATTTCCTGCATCATTATAAATGTAAATTGTAATAAAGTTCTGTCCAAAAAGCTTTTAAGACGCTGGGTGTAGACACTTCTTCAACCCTGAATATTTGTTTACACTCACAACCTTAACCAGAAGAGGAAGGTGGGACTCTAACTCATAGTGGGGGAGCAAGTGGGGTATGGCAGGAACCTGTGCAAGGGGTTAAGGACTTGAGACAGCGTGCTCTCAGGACAAAAATCTCTGCAGGGAGGTTAATATAAGGATGCTTCTGTTTTATCTACAGCACATGGACAAATACTCCTGAATGGGCCCTGGTTTGTTCCATATATTTTGTTCTGTCTTTAAAATTCTGTTATCAGGGCACTAGGAACATCTCATCCTTCTTTCTTCGTGTGTGTGCAGTGAATTCAAACTGGGAATTTGTTGGGGCACATGGCTGGCTCAGTCAGTTAAGCATCTGGTTAAGCATCTGCCTTCGGCTCAGGTCAGGATCCCAGGGTCCTGGGATCGAGCCCCGCTTCGGGCTCCCTGGTCAGTGGGAAACCTGCTTCTCCCTCTTCCTCTGCCTGCTCGCTTGCTCTCTATCTCTCTCTCTCTCTCTCTCTCAAATAAATAAAGACAATCTTAAAAAAAAAACCCTAGGAAGTTGTTGAATAAACTCATCACATCTCACAGCATGTTTGGGTTCCCTATCTTTTTTTTTCCCCATAATTTTGGGAAATATTTCCCCTTATTTTTATTGGGTGCTTATGTTACCAAGCAACAGATAAAATCTAGGTCTTTTTTGTTTGTTTGGTGCGATTGGCTTTGCAGACCAAAAAAATGTTGCAGCAAATGTATGTAAGGGACTGGAATAAACTAAAAGGAAATGTGTTTTTAACTTGAGTGCAGCGTGTTGACTGCCATCACTGTGCAGTGTGGCTTAAGGCTCGTTCGGAATTACCAAAATGAAATCCAGGCTGCACGAAGAGGTCTTCTCCA